GTTTGGTAAGGTGGAGGGTCTGAGAAAAAGAGGAAGACCCCCAGTGAGATGGATTGACAAAGTGGCAAATTAATGGGCTCAATCACGGCAACAATTGTGAGGTTGGCCCAGTACTGGGCAGTATTTCGTTCTGTTGTGCATAGGGTCACTATGGGTCGGTACCAACTCGATGGCACCTAACAACAACAACAGTGACCTGCTATGGAGTCAAAGTTCATTACATAAAATGTGGGTCACCATTATTGTCTATTTTTCATTATTGATCAAATGTTTTCATATCTTATCTTTGCAATGTGTTATTCAAGAGCAGAGGACATGTATCATGTATAGTCCTAATTTCCTATAGTGTCTGGGGTCAATAAATACTTATTGATAATACAGAACTGTCCCAATATGGACTTGGGAGTCAGATCCTGCAATCCCCCACTTTGTCTTCCTTGCAGGTTTGAGACAAAGCAGGAATGGAAGGGGAATGGGTCACAAATTGGAGACCTGAGCTTTGGGTCTCACTCCATCACTTACTATTGGTTTCCTCAACTATGAACTGAGCTTAATAATGCCATCTGTCTCGTTATCTCTTTATGAAAGAGTCCTTGGGTAGCACAAATGGATAAGTGATTGGCAGCTAACCAGAAGGTTGGTGGTGTGAGTTCATCCAGAGGAGCTTTGGAAGAAACATTTGGTGATCTAATTCCAAATATCAGCTGTTGAAAACCCTAGGGAATACAGTTCTTCTCACACACATGGGGTCACCATGAGTTGGAACTGACATAACCAAAACATTTTTTGTCATCATAAGAAGAATGCACCCACTGAACATACATATGGGAGATTTTGTAAACTATAAGGAAAATGTGAAGCATTGTTAGCAACATTACAAGCATGGCTTTGGAAGCCGAGCAAATGAGCCATGTGGGGACTGAGTCCACACTCGCTCATGTGGCACTAGCCCCCCTCAGGGCACTCACCTGGATGATTTGGACTGCAAACTCGCCAAGAGTTGAAGGTCTGGGAGTGGTTGCTGATGGGGTTACTCACGGTGCAGACGTACACATTGTTGACATCCTGAGGGCTGATGGTGAGGTACAGAAGGTGGGAGCTATTGACCAGACTTAGTGGGTGGATGTCTGTCTCCTGGCTCCAGCTGTAAATCACATGATCCCCCTTCTCCACCATACAGGCCAGTATCAAACTGCAGTTCCCGCTGTCTTGTGTCAAGTTTAACACCTTAATTTCTGGAACGGAGACCTCCTCTGTCATTAGAGGGAAGAAGGAAGCCATCACTGAGATGAACCCTCTGGAATTCTGAGTTGACCACTATGTTAGACAACAACACAGCCTAATGGCATCTTCCTCTCACCAAGGGACTTTAATGTGATTTCTTTCTAGTGGGTCCTATTTCTTTGCACTATTCCTCTGTCTTCTCTGTGTTCTTTCTAAGACCACCATGGGATAAAATAGTTTTTTGGTCTCCTCCTGCCAGTACTGTGTATAACCGATGTCTTTACAACCAGAGCTCTTCCTGACGTGCTTTGGTCTAGGTTGTTCTCCTATAAAAATCCTATTAGTGAAATTTACTATTAACTAATTCCCCCTGAGTTTTAATTATCATCGACTAAAACCATTAACCTCCTAATAATGAAAATTACCAAATGACATAGATAACTAAAATAATGACTTTTTAGTGGTAGGATTTCATCTATAATGTGTGTATAGCTGTATTTTGTCTGAAGTAGGAATAGCTCCACAATCACAACCACAGTGCCTATCAACCTAGCCCACTTTAATGCTGTGGAGTAGCCAAGGAAAAATGTCTTATTGATTTAGTAACACTGTAGGTCAGGCACACTGCTGGGATTGCACACCCATCGCCTCCTTTAAGCTTCTCAACAACTCTTTGAGGTAGTTATGAATATGCTCATTTTATAGAGCATATAGAAACTAAGTCCCAGAGAAGTGGAGTATCTTATATGCTACCATACATCTTCAAAGAAACCAAGCTAAAATATGAGTCTAGTCTGACTGACTCCAAAATCCAGGTTCTTTATTTACTTCAAGAGGAAGTCTGGTTGCAGAGATCACATTTTCTAAGGTAAGTAAGTATTGGATCACAAGATGTGGCAAACATAGTGAACTGATAGGAATGAAAGGAAAGAATGTGCAACATATGAACTCTTTTAGAAATGGTGTGATCTCTTGGGCAGCCTTATCCCAAGGTTATTTATTGTTGGAGTGATGAGGGTTTCTTAGTGCCTGATACGGGGGTGGGGAAATTCTGCATCCATTGAAGGAAAGAGAGTGCTGGGCCAGAGGCTTGAAGGGAAGCATAATGCTCTCTCTCCTACAGACACCTGAGAATTTCAAAGAAATGCTAGGTGGTAGGAGCTTTCTGTCCCTTGTCCAGAGAGAAGGAAATCAGTTTGAAGAATCAAGAAAGCCCTCCAATTGTCAGGATTTTTAGAAATTCATGTGAGCCTCTAGGCCTAAAAGAAACAAACTATGGGTTCATACAACAAGGGGTGGCAGATACCAGGGGGGAAAAAAAATTGGCATTGGAGTCAGGTGGGCCTGGGGCCTAGTTTAAATGAGAGGAAAAAAAATCACTTATACTAGATAGAGACAATCTTGTATCGGGAGGCAAGTAGAGTTAACTCTCAGCTCTCATCTACTCAGGACCAAGTGCAGTGATCAACCCACACACATGTGCGTGAGCACATGCAAACCACTTCTCTTTGGATTCTAGTGACCTCAACTACAAAAGAGATTGGACTTGATTAATGATAGTCAATCTTTTAAAAAAGCATAAAAAACAATTAAAAACAACAAAACAAAAAAAAACCTTATTTGCAAACCAATAGTGCTACAACTTTTAGACCCTCCACTTTGGGAAATGGGGCCAGGGGAGCAAGTGTTAATAGCTATCCCCAATGTATAATTCAAAATTAAACAATTGTGAACCTCTACAACATCATCTATGAAGCCCAGTTTACATATCCCTAGACTAGGTGGTCTTTCAATTTGCTTCCAATTCTAAATACTGTTTGCTTCTGAGAGAGGCCTAAATTCTTGGATAAGGCACCTCCATAACCCTCCAGTGCGAATCAGGGAAGCCACCATTATTACCATAAAGCCTCAGCTGCAGACAAAACTGCTGGACTGAAAAGTTTTGCTCCAGTGTCATGGAGTACCAGCCTTCATCTTCCTTCCTGCTTTCCAGGATCTCCAGGCTCAGGTTTTCCAGGTGAAATTTATAGTGAAGTTCTAGATTGGGTGGGGAGCCCACTTCAGTCGGATTAAAAGACATTATTTTCTTCTTGGTAACACTTCCAAGTGATGTTTCCATTGTGACAACAATACGGATGCTTTTGCTCATGCTCTTATTTATTCCTTCATATGCCAGGGGCAGCATCACATTGCTCCCCAACCTCTGGATAATCTTAGGGCAGTCCGCTGATTGTCCACCTATGGGAGGGAGGAGAAGAGAGTCGTTTATCATAGAGGCCTTTATCACTGAGCCTCATCATCTGTGGATCAGGAATTGTCAATTGGAAAGTTATCTTGTTCCTCTGAGGCTATTCTTGGGGGATGCTAGCTAGGCTCTTAGTGGTCTATGAGGATTTTCATGAGGGTCTCTACTGTAATTTCAATATTCAAAAAATCCAATTGGAAATCTTAAATGTCTTAGGATAGAACTAGCTAGAACTAACACAGCTAACACTGGAATTCTCTAACCTGGGAAAGAATTCTATCAAATTGGATTTATAGCTAAGGCATCTAAAATAACAACAAAAAAATTAAATATTTTCCCTAAAGTTACAAGACTGGAATCCAGGTTAATTTTTTTACCAGGCTTCTTACCACTATTGGGTATACAGGATGAAAGATGAAGAGCCACTGAAAGTAATTTTGATGCCAGGGAACCAGGGAGCCACAAGCATCATTTCTGATGGTGAGGGGGAAAGAAAAGTCTGAGGGATGAGGGATCAGAGTGGTGGTGAGTCCAGTATTCAAACTGTGGAGTCCTAGCTCAACTGCCCTAAGGTGGTTGATAATAGTGAGGGTGAGAAATTACTTTAGATTTCTTTTCCAAACAAGCTGAACTAGCAAAAAACAAAACAAAAGCCTTTTAAACCACTATAAGGGAGCCAACTGCTGACTATATAACACCTCCTCTCTTCTCAAACCACAACTTGCTTTTCCCCCTCTTCTTACAGCAGATGTCTTTGCTTCTCATTCCACTAAACAAAAAAATAGAAGAAACTATAGAGAACTTCTATTTATCACCAAATCCACCCACCTACGTGGATGGATTGTCTACGATTACATTTAAAGTCAGAGCCTCTTTCTTCAGGAGCACACACCTACTTCAAGGTTTTACTCCTGAAATTGTCCTTGCCTCTTGCATCATCTATTTTCTACTGGACCATTTCCATCAAGATAATATCATGCTAATTGCAAAATTCTTTTTCCTCATCCTAGGTTCAATTCCAACTATCTCCCCACTTCTCTGCTTTTCTTTGGAACAAAGGCATTTAATTTAAGTTTATAGTTTTTGCTTCCAGTTTTTGACCCACCTTCCCTGCACCCACTCTAAACAGATTTTCTCCCCTGTTAGTCACTGGACTCAGAAATTCCATACAGGGTCGCTTTGAGTTGGAACCAACTCGGTAGCACTTAACAACAACAACTTGTCAAGGTTACTTTCTACTCCATGAAGCCAGGTTAATTCTCAGTCCTCATCTTATTTGCATTCTCAGTAGTATTTGACAGAATTAATCACTACTTCCTTGAGAAAAATTCTTTATTTTCTCTGAAATAAAGTGAGACACCACACTCTTCCGTTATCCCCCCTATTCCATTGGCTGCCCCTTCTCAGTCTCCTTGGTTACAACCTATCTTCCAGATCTTAAACATTGGAGTATTCCAAGATTTAGTACCCATACCTCTTCTCTGTCCCATCCTCATTCATGCAGGGTCCCGTTCAGTTGCACTATTTGAAATATTTCAGGTATACTTAGACAATTATATTTCCATAATTACATCTTTGTTTCACTCCCATTTGCCTACACAGATCAGCACTGCAGGATGCACAGGTAAATTATAATTATACTATAATTATATTGTAATTGCCCCCCTCACCATCTTCATGGCTGCTAATGGACATAATAGCTACGACTTGACATAAGCTCCAGAGGTTGATGATTGCCCCCTGAAGTAAACCAGGGGGAAAAGAAGAGGGGCTTTTCTCTAGCACCAATAAATCTGGAATAGCCTGAACAGGGACAATACATGGTGTCCATCGCCTTCGGGGGGGTGGAGGGTGGGTGGTTTCCACTTTCATGACCATCTTTTAATTTTTTATTTGTAGCAATACATGTACAACAAAACATTTGCCACATGAACTACTTTTACATGTACAATCCTGTCACACTGACTATACTTCCTACCTTACACAACCATCATTATCCATTTCTAAATCTTTTTTCTTTCTCTTTCCTTCCTTTCTATTTGTCCTTTCCTTTCTTTCCATTCATTTTTTTCATCTGCAGGGACGTGCCCAATGGTTTGTCCTCATGAGAAAATAAAAATGCATAGTTTGTCTTCCAGTACATGAAAAACATAAAACAAAGTAAGGAATGAAAATAAAAAGGAAAGAAAGCAATTTCCCTTCTCTCTTTCTTTCCCTTCCCTTTCTTCTTACCTGACTTTCCTGTCATCCAAGTTAACACATGTCTGCAGAAGTCCTGGTATGGCACTGTGGCTAATGCACTGGACTGCAAAGTAGGTTTGATCCACAAGGTCAGTGGTTCAAGCTCACCAGACACTCCTCAGAAACCCTGTACAGGGTCGCTATGGGTTGGAATCAACTCGATGGTACTTAACAACAGCAACACTATAACCAGTGAATAATTTCCTTCCCTCCCACCCCTAGTAACCATCATGTTGTTGTTAAGTGTCGTTGAGTCGGTTCCGACTCATAGCAACCCTGAATAGGGTTTCCAAGGAGTACTGGTAGAGTTGAACTGCCGACCTTGTTGTTCTCAGTCCAGTGCTGATCCACAGTGCTACATCCTAGAATGTTTATTGTAAATTTGATTTGCACACTTTCTTGGCTTTCACAGTAGCGGCATCACACAATATCTGTCCCTTTGCAACCGATTAACTTCACTTAGCAAAATGCCATCCAGATTCTTCGTGTTATGCAGTGTTTTGCAGATACATCATTATTATTCAAGTTGGGTAATAATCCATTGTGTGTATGTATCAAAGTTTGTTCAACCCTTCCTCTGCATCTAGGCTGTCTCCACCTTTTTGCTAGTGTGAATGACACTGCAGTGAACATTGGTATGCATATATCTAGTCTTTTCATAGCTCTTGTTTCCTGAGAATATATACCAAGTAGAGAGTTTACTGGATCATAACAGCATTTTTATTTATAACCTTCTGAAAAAGTGCCATACCATTTTCCTCAGTGGTTATCCTACTTTACAGTCCCACCAGCAACATAGAATTGTCCCACACTCTCCACAACCTAATTTATTTTTTCTCTGCATGTGTGTTTTAAATTAATATTTTTTATTTTTAGTTTTGCTATTAATGCTGGGGCAAGATGATATTTCATTGTTTCAATTTGCATTCAATAGCTAATAGACTAGCATCAGGATTGGAGGAAGATTCATTAATAGCCTGCAATATGCAGATGATACAACCTTGCTTGCTGAAACTGAAGAGGACTTAAAATATTTACTGATGAAGATCAAACACCACAGCCTTCGGTATGGATTACATCTCAATGTAAAGAAAACAAAAATCCTCACCACTGGACCAATAAACAACATTCTT